GAGTGGCTCCTTTGATACGTGACCGGGTGTTCTGGGGCTTGGTTTCCTCCCTGGGATCTCCCCGCACTCAGAGAATATTCTGTGAAGCTGCTCCTGTGCTTGGGTGGCAGCAGCACAGAGAACAGTCATGTTTTGCATGAAAATGAGCAGAACCACCCGGCAGGGCACAGGGACACTGGGACCTGGGGCAGAGGGGATGCGGGTAGAAGCTGGGGAGGAAGAGCAGCGCCTCTCTCTCCATCCGCCGTGGAGAGGACCCTCTGCCAGGGGTTCTTACCCGATCTGGGTTTGCTCCAGAACGATTGCTTCCAGCAGGAGCTGAACCTCTTTCAGCCAAAATTCAAGAGCAAGAAAAGATCACTGGGTTCTTCAGGGACCCAGAAGCAAGAAGCTAACGGATGAAACCATCCCAATCGCACTGCAGCCTAATAGCAAATAGGCTCTGGGGTTTAACCTCCATCTCAGGAGCAGTCTGTCATCTGAATACATTTCTGTAGCTGCTAATGCCACAGAGCAGTGGAGACGACAAGAAGCCTCGGACACAGGGCAAAAGGAATCAAAGAATACTAACTTCTGCCTGAGGGAAAGAAGACAGCAAGGCAACCAGTATTTACTCTAGAAGTTCTAATAACCCATCTCTGTGAACCAAGTTGACAGATTATACAATGCTCTCCATTTCTTCCGTAAATCATCAGAGGTGCTGTCCACACTGTCCTGAATGCTTCAGATGAATGGGCTACTCTGCAGAATGTTCATTAGCCAATTTATCTGTTTATCAGGGAGTCAGCAGTGTTTGTACCCAGACTGGTTTACGCTAGTAAAATGTGCTATTGTAATTATGTAATTTACTTAACTATTCTGTAAACCAATTAAAATATGAGCGCAAAAAGAGTTATTGTTCCTAAGAAAACTAAGTGGAATGCTTGGGAAAGACCTGAGACTCAAATTTGCTTACAAATGCCGTGTAGTTAGTATCGATGAGACAAATGTAAGAGACTAGAATACACAATAAAAATCTAGAAAGATCCTGCAACCAGATTACTTCTCAAACATCAAAGTTCTTATTGCATTTGAAATAAAGATGGAATTTATAGGTATGATATTATAGGAGAGGTTTGTGCAAGTAAAACGACAAACTTTAATCAGAAAAAGATCTCGGGCCTATATCAAAACATTACCAAATAAATATATATGTTTATCTTTTAAATGAAAATAAATGTACATGGGTTAATGGTTGTTCCTTTCTTCAACCAACTTTTCCAATTAACCAATCAACAAATTAGTTGTCCCTGCTATACTGGATTTGAGACCATCTATTGTATATCGAGATCTGCCCTTTTTCATACCTTTTCTACCCTTTTTTCCTAAAACTGAACAGCTACTACATGCCCAATACGGTGTTACTGCAGAGTTGTATTTCCCAAGAACTACAGTCTCGGAGCTGTTGCTCAAAGCAACGTGAAAACGAGAGTGACTTAAAGTGATTCAATATGTTTGGGGAAAGCTTCAAACCATATCCCCTCTTGCAAATTCACAATGTGCCTAGGACACTAGGAATAAAGAAATAAGCTAAATCTTGTGTAATTCAGATTTCCCCAAGCTTATCTCACCACGGAACCCTTTCTCGGGAGCAATACCTATAACATCCTGTGAAGGTACACAATTTGGGAATCAACGCTGTAGGGCGCACAAAAGAGGTATAATGTATGTTCCCTATTCTTGAGCAATTTACAGAGGTATAAGACAGGTAGATTTGACACACACATATACACACAGGACAGGTAAGTAACAGTATTAGTCAGTATATTCTTACGGTCAAATGATGGTAAAATCCGTCGGTCTCACAGATCAGAACAACAGATCAGCCATCTACCTCTAACTAACTTGCACAAATTTTGGGCCTTAGCCTCAAAAACTTGCTCTTGGTCTACTGTTCTAGAAAACTCAAAGGGAACTCACATTTCTTAAGTGTGACTATGTGCCAGGCCTGGCTCTTTACATATGTTATCTCATTTGATTTTCACAACCATGGGAAACGGTACTATCTTTTTTCAAAGAACTAGAGTGATGGCACAGCTAGTGGGAGAGCCTCAATTCACACCTGTCTGTCCAGCTTCAAAGCCTGTCTCCCTTCCACTGAGCCCTGTTACCAAGAGCCTTCATGGCCTCTTTCCTGAGGTGGGGTTTGGGGGGGTGTGCCCACCTGTTTCTGGGTAGCCAGGCTGATCCGTGGCCCAGCCCTGGCCTGCAGAGGACAGCTGTGCTATGCTGTGTCCCTAGAGCCTGGACTTCTCCCCATTCTCTTCCTCCCCCTCATCTAGAAGCTCTGAGTTCTGACTTTAAAGGCCCAGGGGTCACTCCATTGTCCTCTCCCTATGGTCACTGTGAGGAAGGCATTAGCTGGGGGAGGACTTTGCCAATGTTAAGTGCTTTATTAATTGTATCCGCAGTGCACTTTGAGCTGGAGAAGGTCCAGGGGGTGGGCGAGTGCAGGCAGAGAGTCTTACTCATGCTTTTCACCAAGTCCTCTCCATTGTTCCAGGTCCCTTTCCAGAGCCATTCTGGGTCCTGCCTTCCCTTCTGCTTTTTGCTCAGCTACTACCCCCTCTCTCTTCTCTACCTCGACCTTCCTCTGCTATCCCAAGTGCGGCTGGAAGTGGCCATGGACTGGAAAGAAAAGACCCTGAGCTAAAGAGGGGGCTCAGCAGCAGGGGGGCGAGAGGGCAAGATGTGAACTGAGGTCCGAGGTCAGAGGTGAGGCATAGCCAGGAGGGACCCATAGGGTGACCCTCCAGTCTCAGACTGAAGACTTAACTCAGGGGTGAGTTGCAAATGGGGAGTGGAAGGTAGCTGAGGAGGGAGCCCAGAGGATGGGTGATGGGAGTCAGGGGGGCAGTGCTGGCCTGGATGCCCGGACTCTTGGGCAAGGGAATTTGTCTTGCAGCCTCCTCTCCCTCCTACCCTTGCCTTTTCTCCTCTCACATGTGAGGTTATAGGTGTGTTCACATAAGTCTTCAAAAATGCACGGAGGCAGGAGGTGGGGGAAGAAGGACAGGGAACTAACATTTATCAAGCACCTCAGGGTGCCAGGGTCTTTTCAATTGTTTCATTGCTTCATCATAATCTTCACAAGAGGGGAGTGTGGCCAAGTCACAGAGTAAGAGGTCACACCTAGGTTTGAACGCAGGTTTGGCTGCCTCAAAAGCCCATGAACTTTCTGTCACACCCATGGCCCTGCAGTCATACATCAGCACAACACAATGCATGCAGCCAGCTCTAGATTTGTGGCTGGAAGAGGGGGTGGGTGTAGCCTGGGCTGCCCCCATCTGGGGTGTGACAGTCAGTGCACAGAGATGGATCATCCCCAGAGAGCCCCTCTTCCCACCGGTGGGGCTGGGAGCTGCAGCATGGACACTGGGCTCGCAGGGCCACTGGGCCCGTTGAAGCCCACAGGCTCTTTGACAATGTGGAAAACCAGAACAGGCAGGAGACTGGGGCATCCCCACCACAAGCTCCGCTACTAAGTCAGGGCTGCTCCCTGAGGCCTGAGGCTGGCCATGGCCCTGCCCCCCTGGCTTTATCACTAAGCTCTGGGAGTCTCTCCAACCTCCTCTCCTCACCTTAACCCTCAGCCTTCCAGCCCCTTCTCTCCAAATTAGGTCAACGTTTGTTCCCTAAGTGGTGCTTTCAAAATGTGCTTCCTCAGCAAAGCACTGGGGTGGCCCAAGTCCCTAGAGTGGGGGGTGGATACCTGTGGGGAGATGCAGAGCTCTGGCCCCACATCTATCACCACAGAGCAATCCGCAGAGCTGTCTGCTGGGTGGGCAGCCCAGTGCTTCCAGGACAGAGTCCCTAAGATCCCCAAATCTGAGGACACTGCCTAGGCCTAGCCTTCATGGCTTCTGTAGGTACTCCCATTTCAAATACAGGGTTGTTATTGACTGACTGATTAATTCCCATGATCCATTTGATTTCTCTCTTTCTCTCCAAAGAACAAGTTCCCCTGACTCCCGGTCCTTCCCTACACCTTGCAGGCCAATATGTCTATTGCCCTGGGTATTTGTCTTGTATCTGTCTATCTATGTATTGCCAGGCCAGGCCCAGGGCTTGCAGACTGCTGAGAGCCCACCTGTGCTCACAGAATCTACCTCCCTACCCCAACACACACACACAAACATAGTCAGCCCGGACACAGAGTCACTGGCTTTTCTTCATCGCTATGGCCCTTGAATGGTGCTAGAGGATTACAGTTTGGAAGTCATTCCTGACATTCAACCGAAGGCCTGTCTGTTGCAACTAACACTACACACAAACATACAACCACCACCATCTTAGGTGCACATAGCAGGCACTTTATAAGCACTACATTTAAATCGAAGCCTTGGTCGCCATTTAACAAAAGTAGCCGTGGAGCCTTATGAGAGCAATTGCTCTGTGTCACAGAGCTGAGCTGGTTACGGGAGGAAGTCAGTCTTCCAGCCCCTCCAGAGTCAACTGCACCTCATCTGGCTGCTCTGATCAGAGGGAAAGGGACACACCTTCTGCTTCCCCCAGCAGGGAGGAATCTGGGAAACAGAAGAGTCCTGGCCGGGAAGCAACATTTTCCTCCCTGGAAGAAGGGCAGGGGTGACCGTGGCTGCCTGCAGGAGGGGGTTTCTAGACCAGGAACCACAACCCCAGCCCCATGGAATCTCACTCTGTCATGAAACTGTACACCTGCCCGGTACTTAACTCTGCAGAATATGTCTGACCCCATTCCCTCATTTGATGTCACACTTTTTTTGAGGGAGCAGCAGCAAGCACTAGAGAGAGTCTCCCAGCTTTAGGTTCCATTTAGGCCTCCCCTCTGACCTGGCCTCTGGAAGATGACATCTCTATCAGACAGACTCTCTCTGAGGCCTTGCCTTCTATACATCTGGGGATGACAGCAGAGGCTGGTGCACAAGGGGTTATTCATACCCCTTGCTGCAACTCCACACCCCCAGTACACACACACTCACCATGAGATGCTGGAAGAGCCAAGAACGCATTATATTGGTGGCATGCTTGGGCAAGACTCCTCGTTTGTTCTTGGACTTCTTATCCTCATTGTCCAGGAGGGAGGTGAGGTCAAGGTTAACCTTCAGGGCACGTGGAGAAAAAATCAGCATCAGCAGCCTGGCGGGCCAGCAACTAGGGACCTGTTGCCATAGTGATGGCAGGCTCCAGGCTGCCAAACCCCATTCCCAACTCACTCTTAGGGCCCTGGGGAGGTCACCTTTCCCGTCACCCCACACCAGCCTCTCAGAGAATGGGAGAAAGGAAGAAGGAGGTGAGAGAGGAGACAGAGGAAATAGGGTCATGCAGAAGGTATAGGAGAGATAAATTTGCCATAAACCATCCAATAGTTATTAGCATTTATGGGGTACTCTAAAGTTTGCAGAGCACTTTCCGTGGTTAGCCCTCAACAGCTCTGTAGGTGGGTAGGGCTGTGTGCAGTGGCTATTAATCCCCTTCTATGGATAAGAACTCCAAGGCTCAGAGAGGTTAGGTGACTTATCTAAAATGACAGAGTTAATGTCAGATCTCAGGCCTCTGACTTCAGATCTTCTTACTCCCCCCACTGTGTGTGCACTGTGTCCCACTGAGCTCAGAGTAGAAACCAGGAATAGGAAGTGCAGGATCCTTTAATGTAACCCTGGGAGGCAGCAAAATCCCAGGAGTTGATAAAACCTTTCCAACACCCAGCTTCTTATCTGCAAAGCGGGGCGGGTAATGATACCTCTTGGAGGAATAATGAGGATTAAATGGGTTACTTGTGTAAAGTGCCTAGTAGGTTGTAAGCCATTATGGTTGCCCTCCCCCACACCCATGCACATGTGCACACATCTATACACACACTCACCTGTGTGTTCTGGATCTGGATGGCTCCCTGGGGGATTGCTTGGGTGACCACCTGACCCTGGGAGGTTACCATGGTAACTGGCTGGTATAAGGCTCCACCTGAGGAGACAACCAGTTTTTGGGGCCCTGCCATGGGGGTGGGTAGGAGTGAGGGCTAGCAGGGTTCCCAATTATCTTGGCACTCACATGTAGAAACTCTCTACTCCAGAGAGATTCAGCCCCTGCAAGGGAGGGGTGGGATGGAGGTTGGGGTCCAGAAAGCAGAGCCTCTAGGGGGAGGTGTTTGGGGGAGAGGACAATAGCCTGACTTCATCTTTGAGGGGCTCATAAGACTTTGACCTAAATTTGTTCCAAACCGTCACAATCAGGTGTTGGGGCTAATCATCTATAAACTTACAGAACACTTTAGTCAAGAAGCTCAGCTGGAAGCCCCTCCCTTGGCAGGAGCGCCCTAACCCATTTCCTAGAACCATTTGTGCAGTGCCCTGCCCCCCAACCCTGGAATCCCCTTGGGGCCACCCTTTCTCCTCCCAGGGGTGTTGCCCACAATCCCTTGCACCGACCTGACACCACTTGTGAGTTGACGGTTGTCATGGCGATGTTGCCCTGCTGGAGCGCTGAGGCTGGGACCACAATCCCCTGGGGGTTATTGGAGACTCCAGACATGGAATTGGGGGAATTCTGCAGGAGGTCCTGGCAGTAAGGGAGGTGTGGTTTGTGACAATGTCACTAAGAGCTTAGATGCCACAGCCCCAAATTCCTCCTCTCCCCTTCCCCCTTCCTGTCTTCCCTCCTTCCTCCTTCCTGCTCCTCCCCAGACCAAAATCAGAAAGGCAATTCTCATGGCTTCCTAGAAAGAGTGAATAAGAAGGCTCAATATTAAAAACAAACAATCAACCAACAATAGTCTTCCATTTAGCCGTTCCATTCCCCTGCAAACCTGAGACATAAAATATCCCATAAACCAGTGGCCCCCACCTTGGCCTCACTTTGGAATTTCCAATATTGATGCCTGGGTTCCAACCCCAGAGATTCTAATTTAATTGGTCAGGGGTGTGGCTGGGGCTTTGCGGGGGGGCGGGGGGTGGAAGGTAAAAGCTCCCCAAGTGATTCTAATGTTTGGCCAGGGCTGAGAGCCAGGCTTACCTGCACAGCACCCATTGTCCTTCACACTCAATTGTCTCCAGGTGCTTTCCCCCACACCCACAGCCTCTAATGTTTTATCTTTGTATCCTTAGCACCTAGCTCAGTGCCTGGCCCATAGTGGCTACAAAAATATTTGTTAAATAATAAAAAATAGCCTCCCTAGCTTCTTCATAATCTGTCTTCTAACTTGAGCCTCAACCTTGGCTACACTTTGGCACATTTCATTGATTCCTTCCCTTTCTCAGACTCCAGTGCAGAATCCCACTGCAAACTGTCTCCCTCTGCCCACGCTGTCAACCTGCCAGTGCCACTTTTCCAGGAGACAATCTTTGCTGTTTGTTTTTGCGGAAGCCAAAGCGGCTGAGAAGATGATGTTTTCTGACACCTCGCTGGCCTCATCACTGCCATTTAACAGCTGGGCAGAGAAGCGCTTGGACCTGATGTTGAGGGGCTCCAGCGTGCAGGGTGGGAGGCTTGGCTACGGACCTCCAAGAAGAGGCAGTGAGCCTTCCCTGCTTGGCGGCTGGGCACTCGGGAGAGCTTGCGAGGGAGGAATGGGGTGTGTGAGAGGTTGGGGTCTCTAGGCTTTATTGGGAGAAAGCAAGACAGGTGATGAATGACATGTAGTGGAAGGAGATTTAGGAGACCTGCCTGGGGCTCCTAGCTCCTCTGACCACAGTTCCGCATCTGAAAACAGGGTTTGAACAGGTCACCTGTCCAATGGCCATCTAGGGCTGATATTCCTATGCTCAAAGCCTGAAATTATAAGGCATCAGCTAGGATTTAGATATGTCAACAGTCAAGGAAATAGACGAAATTGGGGCGAAAAGAAGGCCCCCAGCTTCCTAGCATTTGTTTTAGGATGGGGAGAAGCTTGAGTCTTCAGCCTCCAGGGAAGGTTTAGAGTGTGGAGTGAAGAGAAACATGTGTTTGGAGGAAAGCTTGAGTCAATGACAGCCTACCTGTAGCAACAGACAAAGGAAAAGTATCAAAGCCCCAGAGACAGCCACGCTGAGTCACCTCCCAGACCCTCGCACCCGGGACACTGGCAGAGCCTCTCAGGAACTGGTAGCACTGATTTATAGATCTCACTCAGTTCAGCCAATTAAACCATCATTGGCATCTCCTCCCAAGATGCCTTTTCTACCCTCCTGGACTGTCCCTGGCCCCAGAGCTGAAAGGGAATTATCTATAAACAAGCAGCACTCAGAGAACTGGAGTCCACTCTCCCTTCTCCACCCGCCTGCTGCCTTGGCCTCTCGGTCTGGCTTCTGTGGGTGGGTGTGGCGGGAATAGAAGCCTTGCTTCTATTCTTGGCTCACCTCTGCTGCTCTGACCTTGGGGAAGGGAGAGGGCAGCTCTTGCCTTCCCCTTTCTGGGTCTCTGTGAGAGCCTCGCAGCCAGTGAGGTTTATTCTCCGAGCAAACTCTTGGCCATCCTGTTCATGCAGTTCAAGTCTACACTGAGTCAGACCTGCAGAAGCCTTGAAACTGGAAGGGCCCTTAAAAGCCATAATTCCAGCTTCCTGAGGTACAAATAAAGATCTGAGGCTTAGAAACCCAAATGACTTGTCCAAGGTCCCCCACTGGTTAGCAGCACCAGGACTAGAACACAGACTTCCTTCCTTCACAAATGGTGAACACACACCTTGCACCAAGAACTGGGCTGCAAGGTGCTCCTTGAATGTCAGGGGCTCAATAAATAGTTATTAAAGGCAAAGTGAACAGACTTAACAACCAAAACCCAGAAGTACAGAGGCAGCATGGGCCCCGGAGGAAAGATGATCAATTTGAGAATAAGCAGGTCATGGCCCTTCTGTGGCTCTCAGTCTCCTTATTTATAAATGTGTCTGGCCCAGTGCTGACATCCGGAACCCTCAAAGCCTGAGCTTTCAGCTATGAGTCTCCTCCAAGGATGAGCTCCCCTTGTCCCAACCCCTCAGCCAACCATTCTCCCCGGATGTAAACCAGCACTGAGGTTACGTGAAATTGAAGCAAACTTGGAAGGTAAATTAACAGAGGAAGGGGTCCCTCCATGCCACTCAACCTAAAACTAACGGCAATGACTTTTCAATAATCGCTGGTTTGGAATCATCTATGTGCTCCTCATTGGGTAAGGATATTTTGGAATTTCAAACGTAAAAAGTTGTCCCAGACTTTCTTCTCTCCCGAGAAAGTATCCAGCAAGGTTAGGCAAACAGAAGCAAAGTCAGTAAAATAAATACAAGATGTGTGCCTTGGGATTCAACCAACACACATTTTTACTAGCCAGAGGCAAAAGGGGGAGCTATCTCTGGGATACTTCATCTGCTTATTCAAACTCGGGCTGGCTCTCTGCCCTGTGGCTTGGCTAGCCTCCCTGCCAGCTTACCTGGTTAGGGTAACTAAACGCAATTTGTGCATTGGATCAGACCCTTCTCTTTCTACCCTCTCCTCTTGCTCTGGGTCTTTGCTGGGAGGTGCTGAGAGGAAGCCACATTATAGCAGCAAAGGAATGGAATGGAGAACTTCAGGGGTAGAAATCATGGGCAGGGCCAGGGCTGGCCACATCCTAGCTGGGGCGAAAAAGAGGAAGCAAAATCTCGGCATTCCTGAGGTCTGGGAAAATGATATTCATCCCTTACATCTGTAATTATGAGCTGTTTCACAAACTTGCCTGAGTACTGGGCTGTTTTTAAAGACACAGATTCCCAGGACCATTGCTTCAGACCCTCAGCAATCTGTATTTTCAAAAACCTCCCCTAGATGGTCCCAAAGATCAGATGGGTCTGAGACGTACCTATTTATCATACACACTGAATATTAGAGAGCATTCTTTGAGCATGGTATTTCATTTTAATCTCACCACTACCTATGGGGTCAGCAGAAGAGAGATTATTCTATTTGCCTGAAGAGGAATTGAGGTCCAGAGAATGGAAGTGACTTCCTTGAGTCAAATAGCTGTGCCTCAAACCCAGTCTTCTGGCTCCTGGTGTGGCACCGACGCTCACAGAGAGAGATGTGCTTTGGAGTCAGACAGCCAGGCTCCAACGTAAGCACCAGGCCTGGCACATGTAGGCACCCAATAAATCACTTCCCACTTCCTTTGGCTAAAGTCACTCCACTAGAGTGTGGCACAGCCAGGATTTAAAACCTGTCCTAGAAGTCCTAGAGCCTCTGGGTTCTTTACTTAACAACGTAAGAGATGTATTTGGGGCTGCACACCTAGCCGTGGTGGTCAATCCTCGCCACATGCCTCCTTCATTCCTGCCTCCCTGCCCAAGACGTTTCTGGGCCAAGGCCAAGCCCCAGAAGTTGAAGCTGTAGTCTGTGTTTCAGACTAGCTCCGGACTTGACTTTGCAGCTATTTCAGGTCAAGCCTTAGTGTCTAGCTCTCTGCAGCCTTTGTCTCTATGGAGACAATGGGGCTCTGACTCTGTGGGAACAGTCCACAGGTCTTTTCTGAAGAAGGAGCTACTATGGCAGCAGTGGAAGTCCTTTGGGGAGAAAGTGTTGGCTAAGTACACAGTATTATTATCTTATTGACAGTTTCCTCTTGGGGTTTATCAGACTCCAAATTGGGTGGATGCTGCTCTGTTTGGACCCAAATAGAGCTGTTTCCTTCCACGCTCCTGAACAGCCAAAAAGGGGTGAGAAGCACATTTGTACTGTTTTAGTGACATTTTTTTAGCATCCAGAGTCTTACATCCCTGCTTGAATTCCAGGAACCAGGGGCTGAGAACTGGTTATCCAGACCGAGAACTCTTTGCCTTATTCCACCAGGAACATGGCAGCGGTGTCCCCAAGCCTCTAGAAACTGCTGGAAGCCTGGGAATCGTGGGTACTTTCCTTGCTTCGCCGGTGGAGCCATTCCATCAGACTGGGGGTGTGTATGGTCTCTTACTTTCTAGTAGTAAGAGACTTACTTTCTAGTAGGAAATAGGCCCCAAGCTGAGAGCTTCCATAGAGTTTCCCAGAAATGACACGTCATAGGGCATGGACCAGGTGACCAAGGAATCAGATGGAAACCAGTGAACTGGCCTCCACAGGCCTCCCCGGGAGCCTTTCCCCTCCTGCTCCTTGAGTGCTGTTCCCCTGAGACACAGAGAGGCAAAGAGCCTCTCAGGAGGGGGCAGAGGTAGGGGAGCAGCTTTAGAATGTCTGCGAGATCACGCCTCCTGAACTCCACCCATGGACCAGCTGCAGAGGCCTCACTCCCTGGGGCCATCAGCCATTCTTTCTGGACCACAGTGGTCACTGGGTGAGTTTTACTTCAAATCTCATTTTTGGAACAAAAAAAGGAAGACCTTACTAAGAAAAAGTGAAAGGCTCTGTGATTACTTTTAGAAGCGGAGGGTGGTGGGTGTGGGGAGCACAAACGAACTGACAATGATTATGAACTCTGATGCGATGGTCTGATGTTAGCCTAGGAGGAGCTTTGTCAGTCCCACAAGCCACCGTTCTTCAGTTAATAGGGAAAGAGCTTATGTTGCCCGGGGAAACTTAATTCCTACTAAAGGAAGAAATTTCTGGGCTAAACCGTGATGGGAGGAAGAAATGAAGGAGTGA